CTTATATAGCCTATTGTATTCCAAAGAGAGAGAGAGAGAGAGAGAGAGAGAGAGAGAATTTTACTCTCATCCAAATTCCATTTTTTGTTTCATAGTCAAATTCTATTTAATTGTTTAATTGTTAGAAAATAATAATTTGAAACCTAATAACTAAAATTAATGAAAGACTACTTAAGTTAATAAAAATATTAAAATTTAACAAGTTTTTATCTAGTAACTATTAAAAATTAAGAAGTTAATAAAAATTAGTAGTTCATAAATTATAATACACTTGAATTCTATTTAAAAATAACTAATATTAATAGGACAGCTAACATTAATAATAAAAAGTGAAAACTATTAAAAGTAATAAAACAAACCATTTGCATTCCATATAATAATTATAAAAATTAGTTAAAATAATAAAACTAATAATGACCCGATTAGAAATATCTTAAGACTGCTAGTTAGGGATGATCGTTTATAACTTAGCCCAATCCGGCTAGACCTACAAATTTCTGAGCTCAAACAACTATTTTCTTCTAAGCTAGGTCTAGCTCGAGTTTGCACCAAGCAACTATTTTCTTCTATAGCCGAATTCTTGCTTTATGTGTTGGGCAAAAACCTTTAGTACTATAACCTTTTCTCTTGTATATATAGTGCTCTAGGAGTCCTAATCCAATCCAAAAGGAAACTTTCCAACCAGTTGAGAGTTCTAACATCTTAAGAAAGAATCCCAATGTAGAATTATTCTCCTAACTAATTATAGAAAATATCCAATTCGGGTCAAGGTAGTCTCACTAAAGAATTTCCTAATCCAAATAGGAAACATATATTTCAACAAATCTCCTTAAAACAAAAGGGTTCTCTTAGTATGCTAATTCGAGATCGACCTTGTATGGTGTATGACCGCTAAGATCTCAGTCTAAATTAAATTTAAATAAAATCCTATGCCTCATAGGTGTGGTACCAACTATGACCGAATCCATTATACCCAATATAGTGAATCATCCACTAGTGATTGAGTCTAGCATCACCACAATAATGTCCAACATTATGTTAAAAAGTGTATGCCTTTAGCTCCAATAATGTATTGTAAACAACATTTATTGTGAATAAAATTAGCACATTTATTATTTCATGTTTTAATTATACCCCTAAGATATGCATTATATGAAACTTATGTAAGCTTAAATGTTCTCAATCAATGATTTAACTTGGAGAATTTATCATGTCAAGATTGGCATTCCTGTACCACCCAAATCTATGGAGCAATTTGTCTTAGTTGCTAAAGTTGAACCCAAGGTATAAGAATGGGTGTTTATGAAATTAACATTGAATTGGACCATTTACAATTTAGTCCTAGACCTTGGAGCTGGTAGATTGTTTGAAAAGTTGCATGTGATCTCCTAATTTGATAATGGTACTACATTAAATATCATACTAGTTTCTTTTTGATATACCAACTAGTGAGATCTTTTGGGGGTCAAATATCTAGGTAGGATCAACCATTTTCTCAAATAGAAAAAATAGTCTAATTTACATTATCTCTAATGGAAATCAAAACTGTCGACAATGGATTTTGCAAATGGTTATAATCTTGGGATAGATTTAAGTGGAGGGTGCAACCCTATATTTCGCCATTGCGGAAGAGATCCTTCCATGTTGGCAATGCATTGATATAATTAGTTATGAAATTGTGTGCAAATGTCTAATTAGGTAAATATGTGATGAACATTTCTCAGTTAAGATTAATAGTCCTGGGCTCATAAGATAATTGAAACCTAAGTTCACAATGTTAGACATTATTGGGCTAATTTTAAGCCCAAAACACTAGTTGATGATTCATTGGACATAGTGAATTCAGCCATAGTGGATTCCATGCCTATGAAGTGTTGGATTTATTTATACTTAATTTGGACTAAGATCTTGGTGGGTCCCACACCCTACAAAGTCGACCTCCACTTGGAATTAAAAAAAAAAAAAAACATTTTGCTTCTAAGAGATTTGTTGAAATATTTCCTATTTGGAATAGGAAACTGCCTAGTAAAATTCCTATTTGGAAAACAATTATCGATTGGGATTCTCTCCAAAGAGGTTAGGACTCCCAACTAGCTGGAAACTTCCCATTGGATTGGATAAGGACTCCTTAAATGTTGTGTCCCTAGGTAATCAAGTAAGGCATCCAAATGATAGATGAGGTTTATCATGGGAGATCTAGATAGCACAGTTTCTTATAGACCTAAAATATCCTAAAGGTAAATCTACCACTCACTTTAAAGGTTAGCACATGGATGGCTTTCACTAGGTGGAGTAGTGGGATCTCATCCATTGAAGTAATGTTGCCCATTTATCCTATCCCAAGAGGGGACAAATTGGGTGATAAAAACTTTTTCCCCAACTAAAGCCTTCTATGATGATGGATGTATAAATGATGCAATGGAAAGCTTGTGTGTGTTATATAAATGTACTAGAAAGTAAAGCAATCAAATTATAGATAATAGATATAGCAAGAGATTACAAGAAAGTAAAATAGAAAAATATTTTTATAGAGGTTCGACTAAACCTAAGCCTACGTCATTTTTTAGGCAACCACCTAATAATTCCACTAAAATCGAGTGGGCTTATGGGTGCTAGTCAAATCTTACAATTAGTAGGCTTTTGGGCACTTTCAAGACCTTAATCAGTTGAGCTTCTTAGGCCCCATTCGTTTTTTGGTAAGTTACTTAGCTACTTGGGTAAGTTTTTCCTACGAAACACTTACCTGGATAAGTGCATTTGCCCACGTTCTTTTATTTCTCATGTAAATAAGGCAACGACAATTTTAGTCACAAAAATCCATTATTAAAAAGGGCAGCATTTTTGCCCCATTCAAGTGTTGGCAACTTTTCCCCTAGGTTAGAAAGTTATTTACCCACCTAGGAGATGGGTATCACTTATCCGGGTAAGTGATACCTAAGAAAATAAACTTTTTCTAGTCCCTACATAAATCTGAAAAAAGAACATAAGATTCTTGATTAATGAGAACCAAAATCTCATTGACCAACTTTTCCCCCTCTCAAAATCCGAAAAAAAGAAACACTTCATTAGTGTCAACCAAACTTGAATAGTTGACTTTTAGGCGCTAACCACACCTATAATGGTGTTATACTCTTTAACACCTCAAGTACAAGAGAAATTATAATTTAAACTCAAAAACAACAAATATGCCTCTCAATAGGCAGATAATAACAAATACAAAATAAACTACCTTAAAGCAAGAGAATGCACAAATAAATATAGTCTCAACTCTTAAAGAAATTCACAAACTGGCCTTGGTCCAATCTAATTTGAGATAACTTAAGTTAGGCTTATTCCAACCCAAATCATGTAAAAAATCTCACATGATACATTTCTTTTTTGAATGGATAAGATCAATAAGTAGAGAAATCGGTAATTCCCCTATAATACCCAAAAAAAGAAATTAAAAGAAAAAAGTAACTAATGATAATAGTGGGAAAAGTGAGTTGTGACTTGATTGGAGGGGATATTTGCAACTTTTTCATTAGGGGCTACTTATTAAAACATAAAAGTATTAAGAAGCGAAAACCTAATTTTTTATTAGCTAATCAAAGAAACCTTCTCTTTTTTTTTTTTTTTTTTTTCTTTTTAGACATAAAAGGAGATGAAGATAATCCATCTTTGGAGAATCGAGGTGGGGCTTAACTCAGTAATTCTTTGGCAATAAAATGCTCTTTGGGTTAACCTTTCTCTCTGAGTTTTCATTTTTCATTTTCTTGCATATTAAACCTAAAATTAGGTTTTTTGTTAGACATTCAGTCTCCAACCACTTTTTAGAAAAAAATGGCTTTAATAGAAACCCCATAATGAAACGTGTATCATTTGGATCAGCCAATTTTAGGCCTTTCGAAACTAGGCTTCTAATGACATTTTTTAATAGATTTTGGTTTCAACTCTTAATTTGGATTTCTAAATTAAAAGTAATAATTTTTGGGAATTGATATCCTAAGTTGGAAGTTATGAGTCTTGGAAGTCGAATCATGAAAATTTTGGGAATGTCGGTCGACAACAAACTCTTGGTTACTATAAATAAATCAATCATTTTGTAACATTTTTTACTGAGGCTCAATATATGTTGTGATAAATTTATGTTGAAAGAATAATTTCTTATTTTAGGTGGATGGAATGCAAGTTACAAGTGCCAACTGAAAATTGGAAATTTGAGTCTCAGAATTCTAAACTAGTAGATAGAATTTATTAATACCATATGGGCTTTTGGATACCTTCACACCTGGCGCGAACATCTCACGTACTTACATTTGTGAGGAACAGATCCCAATTCATTGTCGTATATCTTTAATTATATTAGAAGAAACAAATATTTACAAATGCTTAATAAGGAAGCATTTGGCGTTGTCCCGTGCCTAACTAACCTCATTGGGGTGTGACATCCCAAAGCCCTCAAAATCAATAATTATTGAAGAAATGATTTTTGTAAATCAATACTCCAACCAAACAACCACTTGAGACATTGCATTGCAACTTGCAAGAGAAACCATAATTTTAGCGATGGAAAAGGGTTGGACAAATGTTTGGCTTGAAGATAATTCAAAGTTAAAAGGGGCAAGAATCAAGATGGTTGACGAAATTGTAACTTGTTACACTGCTTTTCATTTAAAGACATTCGGGCTGTGCCAACTGATACCTTTATGGCTTTATCTACTATAGCCTTCTCTGAGGTCTTTCATCATACACCAGAACGGAAAAGTAGAAAAAAAAAATTAAGAGAGCCTACAACAAACCCTTTTACAGGTTTACCATCTAATTCTGTGTATTTAATTTGTTTCACAAATGTAGCGTGAGGTGATGTTAGGGTTCTTAAACTGTTTGTTAGAAAATATGGTGGAAGTACTCTTGATAATGGCTCAAGTGACTTGACTTTTGCTTTGCCTTTTAATGGGTTGGTTACTATATGTGTATGTGTGAGGTGGAATATAGCAAACAGATAAAGAAACTCAAAATTATAGATAAACAGAGACAATTTAGTGATGTTTATTTAATCTAGAAGCAGGGTTAGGAGTAGGAATACAGCCTAAGGACAGGAAGAACAGAGTGTTTGATTGATGAAAGTCTCTCGATACAATTCGACCACTGACTTTTATATCTCAGACGTTTTTTTTTTTTTTTGAGATCTTTATGAAGAAAGTAGAACCCCATCAACTTCACATTCACAAACTGCCCATCAGTTGGTTTTGTAGTTTGTACATGAAATTTCAAAGCTGAAATTAGTTTAGCTTACATGGCTGCTGAATCGTCCTCCATGTCAAACATCATCCATATCTCATTCACTCTGTTCTGAAACTCAAATGGGGAGTTGTACTGAGCAACAGTGTACACTGATGTGGGATCAGCCCGGCCTTTTTCAACTGCAGACGACCAGCTAGTGCCGGCAAGACTGGCCTGCAGTGCCGCTGCTTCCTCTCCGACATTCTCGTCTGTTACGAATCCACTAAATTGTCTTACTGCTGCATGCACAGGACCCCATTTCTGAGAATGGAGGCCTTTTGCCGGAGGTGGGTCTGCTTGATTCACTCTCGGGACATAAAAGCTAACCACAAAGGATGATTCACAGAAGGGTCCATCGCTAGGGGAGACCTGGGTGATCACAGGAGCAGTCATCTCTATCTTCTCGTCGTAGTCATTCTTCCCTTGGATGTAATCAAATAGCCTGTGAAAAGGAATCATGACAACTGAAAAAATCAATTTACTGGGTTCTTTCATAGAAGGGAATGGATTCCATACTTGTTCTCTGTTAAAGAACAGAAGAATCAATCAAATACTAGAAAATTAAAGAAAGATGAAAAGTGGGTGAGATTTCTTACTGTAGAAAGCCTGTTCTGGTGGCATCGACGAGGGAAATGTCTTGGATGGGAGAAGTCGACATCCAGACAGTGGAATTGTAACGACGAACTTCGAAACCATTGCCGACATGAACTACATCGAAGCTCGGGCACTCGATACGGCTGCAAGTGGGTGGAAATATCCCGACGCTATCATGGTTTTCCGACCAAGGCCCAATGCTGGAGAGGAGCCCGAAGAGAAGCGATAGCCGCTTGAAGAGATGGGTAGCCATGGCAACTTCTCTATTTCTGACTTTTGAGCTGCCAAAACTGAGGCCTTTATATGTAAAGATACATGGATGATTTGAGAAGGTAAACACTCAAAACAATAGCCCTTGCAAGCATTCCTAATTACAGGGGTGCAAATGGATAGCATCATCATCCGATCCGAAGTGCGATCCTATTTTGTCGGATTCGGATATCTCATTTTGGATCCGACATTTCGATATATATTATTTACTTATTTATTTATTTATAAATATAATATATATGTTATTTATTTATTTATAAATATATTATTTTTATTATATTTTTATAAATTTATTATGTTATTTATTTTTTATAATATATATATTGCAAAATAATTAAAAAGATATTTGTATGTTTTGCTTTTCTTTATTTAAATTACCATATTTTATTTTTCTTTTAATAATTTATTAAATTTTTAAAGAATTGATTGGATCGGATCATATCCGAATGTCCTATTTCATTATCAAATTCGGATTCAAATCAATGTTTATGAGATCTGATCAGGTCTTTGAATCGAATCAAATCTACCATTCAAAATATCGAATCAAATCGAATATGCTCTTCATAGTATCGGATCAATTGATATACCCTAATTTAAATCCAATCCAATTCACTTGCATCTCTCTACAAAAAAAAATGGAAACTCTAGAATTAGAACCGTTTTATCTTGATTAATAATTGGTTTAGAATCGCATGTTTTGAACTTATGATAATCCTAACCGATTATTGTACACATGGTTTTTAAAATCGAATTGGTTAGAGGTCTAGTTACCGGTTCGACCAGTCTGACCGTTCGACCCAAATGGTCGGCCCGTTTTAACTAAAGAAATTTTAAAAAATTGAAAAACGGTCAAAATCATTCGAACAGATCAAACGATTAACCGACCAATTCAATGGTTTGCTAACTAAAATCAACGGTTTGAGGGGAAACGAAACCAGCCACCTGACCGGTTTCCAGTTTTTGTTTGACCATCCGGTCCGTCTGGTTTCGAAAACCATGATTGTACATGTTTTTCTTATACTTTTTGTTATATTTTATTATATAAAAGGATACATTTTATGGTGAATATATAAGATAGTTTTGATTAAAAATACTATTTGTTAATATATAAATAATTTATTATTTTATTATCATTTTTTATTAAGATTGTATTATCAAAAGATGAATTTTTAAACTATTATTAACATTGATAAGTATAGATGTCAAATATAATCGGGTCGTTAAACATAATTAGTAATTGGTTCGGACCTAGTACACTCTGTCCTGAACAAAAAAACCCGACCCATTGACAGCTCTCTAATTATGCAACTTTCTGATTTTCTTGGAACACCAAGGGCTTTTATATAGCCTTTGTAGGGCTAAAATGGTTCCACGTAGAGAGACCATTATCTGAAGTAAGGGCTTTTATATAGCCTTTGTAGGGCTAAAATGGTTCCACGTAGAGAGATCATTATCTGAAGTAAAATGGGAAATTTCTAACCATTGGTTGGTGTGAAAGGATAGACCCATTTGTAATCTTGGATTTTACTGGGAGGAATATCCCTCTAGGTAGGGACTTGAGATACTTCAACACATTACACATGGCTTCAAATTGAAACGTGGCATTACACGTGGCAGAAAAAAGCTTAAATTGACATCAGTGTGGACCAGAAAAGCCAATAACTTAAGGTTTTTTGACACGTGGCTTAGGAAAGAAAGGTTATATGACACGTGTAGCAGAGAAAGTTGATAACTCATCAGCCAATCCATAAAAGCCCATGACCCACCAAAGGAAAAGCAGCGGAGACCGGATATCCCGGTTCCATCCCTTCTACAGAAATGCAAGGCAATTGCAATAACCAATGAATCATCCAGAAGGAATAAAAACAAACTTGGGCCTCAAATGTTGTTTGCACCTAGGGCTCTGTTTTATTTGCAGAATGAATATTTTGGTTCGCTATTTCTTTGGATTTATTTTGCTTTAGGGTTTATTTTACTTCATTTGCAATACAAACAAACAAAATAAAGAAAAAATATGAAACGAAAATGAATCAGAATTTGCATTCAAACTGTTTGTACTTTGTACTCCCATGCTTTTGCATTAGTACAATCAAAATTGCAAAGGAAACAAACCAGACTTTGTGGATGATGATGGCAGTGCCTGTGTGATCTTCAACTATATGACTTGCCTTACTCTTGCCTCTTAGGCCTCGTTCATTTTTTGGCATGGTTTTAAAAAATAACTTGGAATCATTCTGGCCACTAATTTTTGGGTCAACAGTTTGACCATCCGGTTCAAACATACGGCCTGTTCTGACAAATAAATTAAAAAATAAAAAAATAATTAAAAATAGTCAAACATTGGATGAATTGACGGTTTGACTGCCAGGGTCAATGGATTGTTGACTTTTTTAACAGTTTTTGGCCAAAGACAGGGTTTAGGGTAAAACAAAACCGGTTGCCTAGTAAGCAAATGTATCATGGGAAATACTTATTGAGATAAGTATACTTATTGGTGTTCTTTTATTTATATAATGACCATTTTATCCATATAACAGTAATTATTGAAGGGACAATTTTCTCTCATCACATGTTAAAAATTTTCCGCTCCGACAAGAATAAATCCCAATTGAACGTATTTTCTACTCTGTTCAAATAAATCTCAACTTTTTCTTTGGTAGGAAAAAGTTAAACCAACTTGTTGTAAACTCCTCCATATCTACGATAGGGTCTGTAAGGGCTTTGAAGTAGACTGATTGATTATAAACTTATAATATGTAGCAGCTTGTAGTACTTCAGCTCTGTTGGTGTATAAACCTACTTGTTAAAGTGGCTTTTGGCTTTTCCAAGGTGAATCCCACACAGGCAGCCACTATGTTTGTCAAAGCATCCCGAGAGCCCAGATTGGCTATCAATCAGTCATTTGAAGGACCGTCTGTTTCAGCCTCTATAAATTGCATCTTCTGAGAATTTAAAGAAGCTGAACCAGTTTAACTGAATCTTTAGCCCAGCCTCTCTCAAACAGGCCCTATATATAGTTGGTTCAGAATCAAGGTTCAAAATATCGATAGGTCTGATACACCAGTAGAGGAGTACCATTTCTTTTTTTTTTTTTTTTTTCAAATCTGGTTTCCATCCACCCCCTGAACCAATCGAAACCCCAAAACACCCTCTGTAGGGCGTATCAGGAAGCCCCTGATACAATGTGTATTAATATTTTGAACCTTGTTCAGAACAACTAAAACCAATCTCAACCCAATTATGATTGAGACAAATAATGCAGACCCTAACCCTATATAGAGTTGGTTTAGTCCGATTCTGTCATGTTTGCCTCATACATTGGCAGCCCTAGTTTGAGACATGACGGTTATAAAGTCAGATCAGAGTGGGGCTGCTAATGGCTTTTATTTGTTTTTCTGAGAATTGGTGTTTCTGTCTGTTTGCGGTTTGGTTGTCTTTCCCTTAATGACGTTTCCTTTACCAGTAAAACCATGTAATCCACATGTGATAATCCCCATGACTGAGTAATTCTTATTGTTTCTGCTTGAATTAAAATGGTTCGGAACTTTGAATACATTGCCTTCAAATTTGAATCCGATTAAAATCCAATTCATTTGCAACCATATGAGCCTACACTAAGCTGTAAGGATTGTTTAAATTCATCTGCAGTATGAAAATAAAGGTCAGTGATTCAGGGACAACCATATGAGCCTACACTAAGGAGTCAAGAGAACATGACATGAACATTTTAATCTTAATCTTAAAAGATCCCACTGATTTAGGTATAACACCATATAGCCCATTTAACGGATTTGTTAAACAAGTAAAGCCTGAAGTGTAATTACTGTGGAAGTGACATATTTGATCAGAAGGGAATTCCCACTACAAGATTCTAAAATTACAGTTGACAATGACCAGATGTTTGAGCAAAACTATCTTTTGGGACTACTCCCGTTTTTCACAAATAAACTGCAGTTACCAACAGAAGGAACAGGTTCAGTCGGAAAAATGCTGACCTGTTTCGGATTATTCCCATTCTGTACACTGTCTAGGGGTTGGTTTGACAGGGATGAGTCCAAAACAAAACCTTTGTCTTCTGAGTGGAATCGTATATGTGGCTTACTACGAGAGAAACTTTTACAGGAATGAGATCCGTGAGAGTATTCTGGTGGATAGTAGGAGGTGTTGAATATTGAGGATATGGAATCAAAGTTGAAGTCAGCATAGTCTACAGTACTAAAAGAATCTCTGGTGCTCTCAGTGGTAAATGATGATTCATCTGAGCTTGTAAAAAGGGACCAATCACTTGATGTGGCATCTGGAAATTCAGTGCTTGAGTCGGCATAGTTCTCTCTCATAGACAAGACATTTACATTTGCACTCCTTAGAATGCTGTTAGAGGTTTGGTTGCTTGTCCCCATACTAATTTCTAGTTTGGGATCTGATGAAAATCCTGAGGTGATAGAGTGGCCACTAGGATTGGTTTGCTCTAGTCTTGAAGACTTCTGAGTTTTGGATGTACAATGCCTTGCAGAAGATGGACTTTGCAGTGAAGTAGCTTTCCCAAAACAAGCTCTTGGAGGGCGTGGGCAAGACCTGGACAGGGTTTAACAATTGAAAACTGGATGAACAACTGAATAAAACTTTAGGGAAAAAATTGTCAACGTTACCTCGAATAGAAAAGGATGTATGCACCTTCAGACATCACCTGGCTCATTGGCACTGGCTGAACCTGTTAACAGAAGAATGATATTGGATAAGAAATCACAAACTGTGGAAAATAACTACAGTTTACATCGAGTTGAGAACTAGCTCAACCAAATAACAATCCAATCAATAGAATAGAGAAATAAAACATTACAGAGCTCCATTTTCAGCAATTTGGACATATCTTGGAACTCAGTGCAAACCATCCAGTCCAGAACGAGGGAGAATATCAGCCACCATCCTAGTGATGTTTCTACTTTCTACCTTCCTGTCAAAAGCTATTTTGTTTCCTTTCTCCTTGTTGAGGATTTTGCTGTTTTGCTGTTAGTAGCTTGTTTTTACTTATTTTGTTTAATTAGCTTGTTGGGACCACAGCCTATTAGTTGGAAGTTACTTGAGCAGTAGTTCATCTTTCTTTTTCAAGTTGTAAGCACCTACAGCCCTATTAAGGGAATATGTCTTTATACATGCTTTTCATTTAAAGTAGAAAAGCTAATGGGAGAGGGCAGCCAGCATTATTGGCTTCTCTTCCTTTTCTCCATTCCTTCTCTTTCTCTTCTCTTCTCTTACAAATTCTTTCTTTCTTCTCTTTATATAATTTTTTATATTACTACTTGGTATCAGAGCCTAGTTAGGCTTTCTTGAAGCTGATTCATGCAGCCCTAGATCAGCCAACTGCATGAGGGGATAGACAGCTGATCGATTGTCTATAGATTGCCCAGGTCTTGGATTTTTTGGTGGGATTCAATTATCAAGAGGATGATTTGGGATTTGGGATCAAAATCAGGAAGAACTGGAATGAGGGGAAGAGTCCTAGTCAGGTAGAAGGAAGGAAAGGAGTAGAGGGATCATTAAAAGGAACTAGGGCAATCAATGTGTATTCAATGAATGTGCAGGGATATATGTGCATTCATTTTGAATTGGGAAATGATGGTAAAATAATGTAAGCGTATAAGCTGAAAAGATAATCAATATTTAAAGTCAATGGGATGAGACGGATATTCGGGGGAGTCTTTTGTGATTGGGTGTTTGTGGTATACTAAACTTTTATGTAATTCTCCTTTTTGGCGGATCTACAACATATATGTGTAGATCTTTTTGTTTACTTCTTGTAATCCATGTGTCCTTATTAATACAAATCTCTTATAACTCATCAAAAAACATCTGAGAGATCAATGAATGCTGCAAAAATCCCTTGCATGAATTTCTGTTTAACCAATAAAAAAGTAGTTTAAAAATGCCTTAAAATTAAGAAATTGAAACAATTACAAAATAGATAGATTTTACCTCTGTGTCATCTATCCTTAACCATATACCCTGTAGATCTTTCACATAGGCCACATAATGCCCTGAAAATGATGCATTCAATGTATCCAAGTGCACAACGACAGCATAAAGCAAGTACAGTGGAGGGCTATCACCTATTCCAGTCATGAATGGAATCATGTCTAGCATATCTGGGAATGTGATACATTTGTTTATTTTTCCATATTTCCCTGTCTGATAAAGAAAAATACTCAACAAGTCAATAATTATACCAAAATTAGCAGAGCTTCAAAAAAGTTAGATAGTTAATATATTTCCTCAGAAAAAGCTGAAAAACAGGAAACCATTTTAGGCAAGGATCATCAAGCAAGAATATAAGGAATTGAATATTAGACTATTGATGAAGCTTAGTGAACACTGCAAACAATATTATTTGCAATAACTAAGCAGAAACATTTTAAAAGGAACTGAAGGCACACACCTGGAGGTGCACCTTAAGGAAAGGCATTAAGAAAATGCTAGGAGGCGCACAGTAGAGGCTTAGAGGCGCTTGAGGCATGATCCCCCAGTATAGAGGTGCATATGCTTGCAGTATAGATATAAGAGGCATACACCTCTGTTGTGCTTTATACAAGACAGGTGTGACATCATCTTTTTTTTTTTATAGATAACCAGAAAATTGAGTTAGTTAAGGAAAATTAGAATAAATACAAAGCGACCTGAGAGACCAAGGTTCAAATCTTAGAAACAGCATCTCTATAAGTGCAGGGGTAATGCTGCATACATCTGTCCCTCCCCAGACCCTGCATTAATCGGAGCCACATGCACTGGGCTTCCCTTTTAGAATAAGTATAAAGCTCCCAAGCCAAGCCAAACCCACATTAAGTGATTAAATTAGCCCAGATCAAATGATTCCTATGCACCCCTTGCTTTACTAGTTATCTACCATTGCATTTGCCGACCTGTTTATTCATTTAAAATTAGCCTCAACCTCACCTGCTAGCCTCCTTATTCTCTTATTACCTGTTTGAGAGTCCATGGCCCACCACTGTTGGTAACCATCCACCTTATTGCCAGCAAAGAGTCACCCTCCACCTCAACATGTCTCAAATTCAGCTGTCTCATAATTTTTAACCCTTGCAGAAGGGCAGAGAGTTCTGCTAATATGGAATCTGTAGCCCCAATAGGACCTGAATATAAAAACCAAAACTGCACCCCTATCATCTCTAAAGACTCCTATGCCCAAGGGACCTGGATTTTCAAGAGAGTTACCATCAAAATTCATTTTGATTCTGTTATTGCTAGATGGAACCCAGCCCTCTTGCACTATCAGTTTCTGCAATGAAGACACTACCATTGCACTGTCGTCTGTCGTAACTTGTATGACCTTTATATCTCTTATCTTTTAAACTGTTTTTTTATAATAAAAATATAATATATAAGTTGGAGAGCCATTTTGTCATGTTACGTGTTTTTTAGGATCTTAATACAGGGAAAACGATTGATGAAGGCACGAGCATGAGAGCAAAGGAGTGTATTATCTATTTATCTCAATGGTGATGGAAAACTGACTACACTCAACTTTTCTGTTGAACCACACCAATAACATTGTAAACTTGGTCATCCATCTCTTCATACACTGAAGTTCTTGTTCATCTTTGAGTTCAATGTCCATGTTAGATTGTGACTTGTGAGTCATGTTAACTTGGGAAACTCTAGTGTCAGGTGTTCTCACAGTGGAAATAGATACTTTGTAACCATTTTGTCATGTTACTCCTCTTATGCATTTTGACATTTGGGGTCCTATTTGAGTCATGCTTTACAGTGGATATAGATACTTTGTAACCTTTATTGATGACTATTCAAGAATGGCATGGCTTTACTTGGCAAAAGAAAAAAAAATGAATAGTTTGCCATTTTTCAATCTTTCCACGCTAAAATAAGAAATCAATTTGGTGCTTCAATAAAGATTTTATGTTTAAATGGAAACAAATTCCTACACTCTTACAAAACATATTTCACCCAGCATAGTATTATTCATTGGACTTCTTGTTCATATACTCCAAAACAAAATGTAATAGCTGAACGGAAGAACCAGTATTTGTAGAAGGTTGCTCGTCCAAGTGACTATACCAAAATGTTTTGGAGTGACTTTTCTTGTGTTGTTTGCTACTCTCCCTCCACTGGTATTTGTTGTGATTGTTTTGTCCGGCGTTTAGATCCTGGTTGTAATAAATTGTGCACACATGCTATAAAATGCACTTCTTTCATTACTCCAAAACACAAAAAGGATATAAATATTAAAATCCTGTTAAAAGACTGTTATTTGTCTAAGTATAGTATGCAGGGGTACTCTTGTAATTTTCTTCTTTTATTTTTTATGTTCTGTAGCCCTAGTATATATATCAAAGCTGACACCACCAGAAGTACCTTTTTGGCTCTCAGTTCTCTCTTCTCTCTTCTTCACTCACTCTCTCTCTCTCTTTTCTCTTCTTCCATTCTTCTCTCCTGCATAACATGGTATCAGAGCGGGACTACCAGATCTGAAAGGAGAAGTTGAGTGAACAGTTTTTCTTCACACCAGATTTCCAGATCTGCCACCCTCATCTGCTGCTCGGCTGATTGAAGATCTCATGCACTGAAGTAACTTTTCTCTCTCCTTTTTTCTGGTCGTGTGCCAGGGCAGAACCTGTACTAGGTCTGCTGATTGGATGTGAGGTGATCAGCACCTCTTTCTTTCCTTTTTTGTGGGGTCGGCTGATCCCTGTAAAACTGTAGGTCGTGAGGACCTTTTGTGTGCTGCAACAGCAGCTTTTATGGTAAACTGAAGGTCAGAAAGTGACCTGTACTTGCTGTAACAGATTTTGTGTGCTGCAACAGCAGCTTCTATGGTGAACTGAARGTCAGAAAGTGACCTGTACTTGCTGTAACAGCCGTCCTGTTGATGCGTAGGTCAAGAGATGACCTGTATGCACTGTGGCAACACTTGTGTTGATTCTGTAGGTCAAGGGATGACCTGTTAGTGAGGTAACAGCACCTATGTTTTTACAAAAGAGGTGTATTTCTGAAGAAAAAAGGGGTTTTTCCTTTCTCCCTCAGTGTCAAAATTTTTTTAAGGCTGTGTACCCCATTTAAGAGTATTTTTCTGAATCTGAAATCATGAATGGTGAAGATTCTGCTACATCCAGTGTTTCCTCAATGCTGAATGGAATGAGTGGGGGTGTAGACCTATCCTTTCCCATGGCTGTTATTCCTCTCAATGGCTTAAATTATTTAGAGTGGTCAAGAGGGATCAAGCTGTACAYCATTGCAAGGGGAAAGATAGGTTATATAAATGGGAGAATCAAAGAACCCAATTTTGGGAGTGTTGAATATGACAGATGGAACCAGGAAAACAGCATGGTCATGTCCTAGCCTTTAGTGTCTATGCAACCTCAAATAAGAAGGAATTTTATGTGGGCTGAAACGGCAAATGAGATCTGGGAACAAGCAAAATCAACCTATTTTGAACTGCGCCACTATGCAAAAATCTACTAGTTACAGGCAGAATCGTCCACTTGTAAACAGGGGGAGAGGTGTCTATCTATGTACTACTCAGACTTGACCTCTGTGGAAGGAGTTAGACCATTATCAGAGTGTGGACTGGAAGTGTGATGAAGATGCAAAACTGTACAAAAAACTTGTTTCCCAACAGAAAGTGTTTGCTTTCCTAAATGGTTTGAACCCTACATATGAATTTATCAGAGTCTAGATCCTAGGTAGCAAGGATCTTCCATCAGTCCAGGAAGTTTATGCTCTTGTACAATCAGAAGAAAGCAAAAGGAATTTGATGAACAATTCTGGAGATGCAATTGTGTTGGCAACGAAAGGGAGTGTTACTACCAGTGGGGGAAATACCTTTAAAAAGGGGGATTTTCAGAAAGAGGTGGATGACAAGGACAAATTGTAGTGTACTCATTGCTAAAAACCTCGACACACCCGAGACACATGCTAGGATCTTCATGGGAAGCCGAAATGGGCTCAAGATCTGAATAAGAAGCAAGGTTCAGATATGAATAAAAAGTCAGGACAACAAGGTACAAGAAAACACACTATGGAAAATATGGCTACTCAGGAGAATCAGCCCCCCATTACTACTGTTACTCAGACACATACCTCTGGATCTGGCCCAAGGGAGGATATTATAAATTCCTTCTGTGACCATTGAGAGCTTTATGGTAAAGCAATTCGTCAGATGGACACTTCTCCCTCAACCTCATTTGTGTCTACATCAGGTAACTCTGCCACAACTTTCCATGTAACATCTCATACCCCTGACACTCCTTGAATCATTGATTCTGGAGCGTCTAAACACATGATTGGTAAGTCCTCTTACTTTCAAACCTATCACCTCCTTTCTGGAAGAGACAAGGTGAGACTAGCCGATGGATAACACTCTACCATTGTTGGTCAAGGAACCATTTCTCTTACTTTTGGCCTTACATTGTCTAATGTTTTACATGTCCCAAAATTTCCCATTAATTTGTTCTCTGTTAGTAGTATTACTAATTCCTTAAACTGCTCAGTAACCTCTTTCCCATCTCATTGTGTGATCTAGGATCTAGCCTCGGGGAAGATGATTGGTAGAGGATTTATGGTGGATGGGCTTTACATGCTGGAGAACAAGGCTGGCCTTCAAGTCCCAGAGTCTAAGAGTTAGTCTTGTAAGAGTCATGTCTATTTATGGCACATTCGTCTTGGTCATTTATCTTTTGAGTCTTTAAAAGTTGTGTTTCCAGAATTGTTTAAGTCAGGGTCAATACTAGAATTTACTTATCAAACTTGTCAATTGAGTAAGCAATGTAGAACTCATTTCTCTTCGAAGAATAATAAATCTGAATTTCCCTTCCACATTATTCATTCTGATGTTTGGGGCCCTATTACTTTACCATCTAAGAGTGGCTACAAGTATTTTCTTACCCTTATTGATGATTACTCCAAATATACATGGGTATATCCCATGCGAACCAAGGATGAAGTATCTAAAATTATCCAAGATTTCCAGCGGATGATCTTCATCCAATTTCAAACTGAAATCTAAATCTTTCAATCGGAAAACGCCAAAGAATATATTCATAGTGATCTTACGGAATTTTTTGCTTTGCGTGGCTCACTTCACCGTAGCTCTTGTTCCCAAACACCACAACAAAACGGTGTTGCTGAAAGAAAGAACCGACACCTTCTTGAAGTGGCCC